TTTTTTTTTTTTAGTTAAATTTTAATGTTTTTTAAATAGGTCAACTTGGGAGTCTTACCACAGTGACTTTTTTCCAAGCCCTAAAGCTACATCTAAAAACCATTACCCTTCAGAGTTTCCAGCTTTCAAGTCTGGGAACATCATGATATGCTCCAGCAAGACTTCTGATCTGGACAACCAAGGGCCCAAGGCCACAGGGCACAACATACTGTGCCACATACCATGCTGAACAATTGCTCTGTAATTAGAAGCACACCAAGCAAACACAAACAGAACTAAACTGGCTTCTGTTCTGCTCTTAGAAAGTGTCAGGGAAGCACTGGGTTTGAATTGCATTTATCAAAAAGGCACCATATTAAAAGAAAAAAAATACTTCTAAAAGCAAGGCAAAATTTACCATAGCAAAAAAAATTAGAGGGAAGACACTAATGATCATAGTTTCAGCTGAACTCCAAAGGTCCTACATCATTTCACTGTAGGTTGTAATGACAGCCCCAAATTCAATCTTCAGGCATCCTTGGCACAAGTAACATCATATCTGAGAGCAAAGGCAAATAATTACTAACCTTTCTACGTTGACTGGCTTGTCAAATTTAAAGAGAATATAATCTCCAGCAACTGGTGTGACAGCCCAGAAAAAATCTTCCCCTACGTAGGTTTTTTCTAGCGTGTGCCCCTGGTAGACTTTTAAAGATGTCGAAACCTCTGCAGGAGGATTCACGTGGATTTTATGCAGTAATGGTTTCAGGAAGTCTTTATCCTAATTGAAAGACAAACAAACACCATGCTGGTCAGATAAGTTGGTTTATTATGTTCTTTTTCCAAGCAGTTACACTTCAAACAGAAACATAAATGGAAAAGAAATGCATTACTCATTTTGGGAGCATCAAGTCTTGTACTGATTAATAAGATGAACATTGAAGTTAAAAAAAATGAGAAAAAATATTCCCTAGGGAAAAACTCACATCAATAAGATCCACATAAATAGCATTTCTTATACTTGACAGCAACCACTTTACATCAGATTTCATTCCAAACGCAGCAATATACACCATGATGGAAAACACCAGAAAACCAGAAAATGCCTCTTTTCTCCATCAGTACAAAGCATTTTATTTAATCAGGCTGCTCTGGAAAAGAAGGAAGGTATTGGCTACTAACTGTGAGTTTCTGGATCTTCCCTGCCAGAGAGGAGTGGAGTCCAACGTGCTGGAAGAGGGATGGCCTGAAGCGGATCCGCAGGTTAGACTTCTGTCGGTCACAATGTTTCTGAAATGGGGAGGGGAAAATAAATCACCTTAGTGAAAACCAACACAAGGTAAGAGCACAGCCCTATTCATCCAGTCGTTCTTGTTTTCATTCCAGAAATCCATCACGACTGCTGTGCAAACATAATTCTGTTCCAGGTTCTTGCACAGCACCTGTTTATTCAGTCTTTCAGCAAAGGTGCTGCTTGAGGGATCAGGGACCAAAGTTTATTCCCTGTTTGGAACCCTCTCTGAGACTGCTACCCAAGCAGTGACATTCTGCAGAGCCTCAGTGTGGGTTACATGAATGAGTTTATTTTAGAACTGCTGCACACAGAAACTAACTAGACTTTTGCTTTTCGTCCTACTGCACCCATTTCCCAAATCTGAAACAGTAACAGAACTGCCCCTGAGAACTGTGCTTTTGAGATAAAAAGCTTGGCAGGAAGAAAGACTCTTCCAGAACATGAAATGCACTATGCCAGTGCTTCCAGCTCATGAAAACCAACTCATTCACCATCATGAGAACATTTTAGAAGCTTTATAATAAAACCAAACTTACAGCATCTTTCTCAGGGTTACACACTTTCACCCAGAGGATATGGTCCAGGAGCCAATCGATAGGTTTCTCCTTATAAAACATAAATATGAACTCTACAATAAGAGTGATATCTGGAGACTGGAACATTTTACCTGTGATGACATGAAGAATAACTGGAGTTACTTTAGATTAAAGATAACATTGTCTTTTGAAATCAGTGAGAGAACAGATGATAAATTTGTGCCAAGACACAAAATGTTAGCAAGGAACAACTTAAAATCTCAATGTTATTAAAAGTTCCATACCTTCCAACTAAATAAAACAACTATTTGAACAAGGCCTTTTAACATATGTCAGTGAAATCAAAATATTCAATGTATATTCAATGTATACTACAACAGAATCTCCTTGAGAACAGAAGTTGTGAATTTGCAAAAACAGAGAAAGAAGAGTTATGGGTTTGTCTAATATTCTCCATGTCACCTGTAACCTCCAAGCATCTGAGACAAGGAGCTCTTGCCCAGTCACACATTTCAGCTTCTGCAGGTACAAAAACTAGAGCTGGAACACCTACCACTAACTTCAGATCCTCCTGTGCAGGAAATCAAAGCACAAGAAAGAAGCTACTAGAACATATCCAGAGACAATAAAAGAGACATCCCAGAGCAAGCAGATTTTTTTCTGAAGCACACAGGCCACCAGCAGGACTTCTGGGTGGCACTGTGCTACAGGATCCTTGGGCACACTGCAGCCTGTGAGGCTCAAAGGAGGTCTCTGCAGAAGAAGGAAATTTACTGTTGATGAAGAAAGTCTAGGTACCATCAACGTGAGGAGAATGCTTGAGTCACCATCCCTGGAGGTATTTAAAAGACACACAGATGTGGCACTTAGGGCCATGGTTTAGTGGTGGATTTGGCAGTGTTGGGTTAATGATCTGAGAGGTCTTTTCCAACCAAAATGGTTCTATGACCACTTGCCAGCTAAAAACCCAAAGGCAGTTCCAGATTTGAAGGCTGATTCAGAAAACATCCCCAGGTTTGCAGATGAAATCTGCCCCTGCTTTGCTAGGCTACATGGGAGAAGGCAAAGGGAGAAAGTCCTTACATAACAATAAATCTCTTAGGAAGACACTGGCTGAAGTTACTCAGTTCTGCAGATGGTGCTGGATTAAACAGGGATGGGCTCCTGGGGCATGTGTGCATGAGTGGATCAGTCCAACAGGAGATCTTCTCCAGTATCTTCTGTCTCTCCACACTTGGGAGTCCTGTACAACACACTAGCACACAGCACTCAGGCATGAGAAATGTTCGGGGTTTTTTTTTCCACTTGTGAGGAGGCCTTCAGAGGCTTTCTAAATAAGTTATGCAAGTGGTAGAGGGTCTAATATTTTCTCCTACTCTTAGGAAAAACAGCTGGAATAAACATTAAGAACAGGTTCCCCTCTGAGGTGGCAAAAACACTTCTCACGCTCCTCAGAAAATGGGATTTTGTTCTCATCTACAAGAGAACAAAATTATTTGGAAAGGCCACTAAGGAGCCATATAGGCTACTCTGGATGACAAGCAAATAGGGAACAGCATTTTATATGAAGCTTACAAGCTATCAGCAGTGCAGCACTCTACTGGAGCTGGTGGCTGAGTGAAAATGAAGAAATGGTGCAAACAGTCTACCTCACCTAGCCATTAAGGTAGTAGAAACCAATAAAACAAGAAGGAACAGCACAAACTGATGCACAGGAAGTTTCACCTGAATATAAGGAAGAACTTCTTTCCTGTGCAGTCACTGAGCACTGAACAGATTGCCCAGAGAGGTTGTGGATTCTCCTCACTGAAGATATTCCAGACCCATCTGGACACAACCCTGAGCCATGTGCTCTAGGGTGGCCCTGCTGGAGTAGGGAGGTTGGACCAATGACCCATTGTGGTCCCTTCCAACCCAACTAATCCTGTGATTAAGGAAGATGTTCCCATTTACATAAACAGAAGAGAGGATATACCTGAATTATCACCCTGAAACAACACTTACTACTAGATGCACTAAAGGTAAAACCTTATCTAGTCTTCAGTGATTAGGCACATATGTTTCCACTGTGAATGTGCATGTGGACTATGATTAAGAGCCAAACATTCAGATACTTCTGCTTCTACTTGGGCCTCCCCTAAGTCTGTAATTCATAGAAGATTATCACAAGGCAGCACAAGGAGCTGACAGTTCAAATCCCTATTGTAACAAGGATGGAAAATTTCTCTACAGAAACAGGTGCCTGAGCCTGGCACATTAAACAGCACCTCAGAGTAGCTATGGACTGTCAGGCTTACATGCATGTTTTCAGGGGAAAGCTTCAAAGCTGGGTGTGCTCTGACACTACCAAGTATCAGACCTTTACATACCAAGATCTGCTTTGAGAATGCCTGGACCTCAAACAGTAAGATCCTTTATTTTCTCCAAAAAAAGGGACACATACTTAGGAGATCACCTAAAGGGCCTTGCCCTCTGCAGAAAACAGGTCTGATGCAATCTCATTTCTATTATGACTTGCATGAAACTGGATAAGCATACAGCCAAAGAAGGAAGACTTATTATGGAATTCTGAGCTGAGTTTGGAGGAGTCTGAGTAAGGCTACATCTTGTTGCAGCACAACAAACACGAGGAAGCATCTGACAAAAGTGCCAATTATTTCATCCGTTGGACTGATGCTACATTAGAGCATTCACACAAGTGGAAAAGTAAACATGGTAAAACATCAACTGACCTGACATTGCTAAATCAAAGCTGTCACTTCCAGAAACCTTTAATTTGGCTGTTTACAAAGCAAACCCATTGATATCACTTGGAAGTGGTTGTTGCAACAAGGTCCTCTAATAAGTATCTCCACTTGAAAATACTCTGGAACTAAAATTTGCAGCTCCCACTAAACAAGGAAGAAATCCTACTAGACTAGGGACAATTGCAAAGCTTTAAAAAACAAGAAACAAGAAGTTATGATATTTATCAGTATATTATTACTATTTACACACTATATTGTCATATTGTTTAACATTATTTGTGGAAGCAAATATTTTAAAAGGGGTAGGAAACAATCATATGATTTGCACAATGTTGTTTAAAATATTCATGCAGAATAACAGCTTTCAGCTTGTCACATTTCCAACTAAACAGGCTCCTAATTTTCCTGGTGATTCATCTCTGCCTACTGTTTTCAATGGCATAGGGCAGGAGAAGAGAAAAATATGATGAACCCTAATCAAACAGCAGCTGAAAAATGGGACTGATCAGATGTTTTTGGGATGTTTCTGGGACTGACACTCTCATTTCTAGATGACACATGTTGAGGCAGTCTGTCAGTCACATCTGCTGCCATGGGAAGTAGACCTTTCCATGTCATGTCAGAGAGATGCACAATACTATGTGACTCAGAAGAGAAAAACATCTCTACATTATTGCTCCAACCTCAATGCAAGCAGAATGAAGAGAGTTTCTCCTCTTCTAGGATGTACAGACACAGTCATGCTGCTCTAGAATCCTTTTCTTCTACCCAAGGACAGAGCAAAGGAACCACACTGACTTTTTTTTTCCTTTGACTAGCTCATCTTCTGGACAGCACAAGGATTACACTCTTTAGTTGTCATCTACAGTGAAAAGACACTCACAGACCATGTCACTTAAAACTGAGTGTTAAGTTACAGGATCCTCACCTATAATTAAAGAAGGTGGGAACAAGACTGAAGGTAAGAGTAGGAATTTACTCTTTTCCCTAATTTATCCTAATTTTACCTAAATTAGAAACAGGATACCAGCAAATTATTTACTCCCACATAGCAAGCTTGTGTAGACCCAGAGGCACTTTCCTCTAGGCTGGCACAGCACTGTGCACCATGTAGTCAACCAACCCAGACTTGGCAATAATCTAGTGACTGTGATGATGTCTCAGGACATATCAGGGGTAAAAGGAGGGGAAAAAACAAACCACAAAACCAAACCAACCAACAAAACTCACCAAACAAAACCCACCCTCATACATCCAACTGCAAGTAGGCAGAAATAAGCCAAGTAAGCATCAGCTGGTTGTACCTGCACCTGGAGTCAAGATGAACAGGCAACACTCTGCTCCTGAAACAAGCCCTTGTCTTCCTTCAGCAATCAAGGACAGACATCCAAGCTCCACTTTCCTAAATGCTGTCACCACCTTCCACACCCAGCAGAGCTCTGCCCCAGCCCTTTGTCCTTGTGTGTTACCCCACATCCCTCACCTGTCATTTCTGTCTCAGGACACCACCAGCACAGCAGTTCTGCCATGGATCCATGTCCCATTTTTATCCACCATAACTCTCTTCCTGCACCAGCTCCAAAACAGGTCTCTGCAGTGAAGCCTCTGGTAGAACAGGTCTTCAGAGCTCTGGACCCAACTGTCCACAGCTACTCCTTGTGATGTAAGACAGAGGAGTACAACTCCTGCTCCACAGATCTGATACTCCAGCCCCTCTACACCCAGATCAGCCAATCCTTTGCCTAGTCTCTCCTAAGCAGGAGTAGCAGCAGCAGCCTGGCTTTCCTAGGGCATAGCCACAGCCCAAGAACATAGCTCAGAGCCAAGGTCCTTCAGCCTCCCATGCAGCAGCAGGCAAGGAAAGTGCTGTGAACCACAGAGCCACTGAGATGTTATCCCAATCCAGCCTACAGAGTGCCCACTGGCCATCCCCAACATGCAATCATCAAGCCAAGGAGAACTAAGATCTGCAGTCAATAGGCACTGGCTCAGACCAAAGACAATGTTAAAGAAATGATGTCTCATCTTGCTCTGTGTTCATGCACTTGGTACAGTACAGGATAACAGACATAAATCCAGGGGACTCAGCAGACAAAATTTCAGGTTTCTGGTACAGATCACCTACCATTGGAAAGAAACTTCAAAATCCAAAAGAATTAACACTCAAAGGTCAAATCTTGCTCCATAAGCCCCTAAAGATTTACAAAATGTAGAAGACTTTCTCCATATTATTTAACTCTATTGATAAAAGTGAGAGTCAGGACTGAAAAAAATTAATTGTGGAACACTTCATGCTGTTTATTGTGCCTTGCCAAGACTTCTCTCTGTTTTTCAGCCCATTTCAATGCCACCCTTAGTGAACTATTCTGGCCCTCTCAGTACTTCGTTGGCAAGTACAAGCCACACGTGAAATGAAACACTTTGTTTTCTACAGTTTTCTGAACTGCAAATATCTAAATCCTTCATTTTCATTCTTCCACATAAGCATCATTAAAGGTATTGAGTCTACCCCAACAATAATTTTTCACCTGCTAGCACATATTCTATGGTTGATGTTTTCAATGCTTTCCCTGTTAATGACATGCAAATTACTGGCATTAAAACCAGAACCTCTTTGAAGTTATTTAAAGCTCAAATGTTTGACTTGATCTACTCTTCCCCAAACTTCAACTCTGTGCACAGCTTGAGCAAAACTGTAATCAGAACAACTTAAAATAATCAGAACAAAAGGCCTTAAAACATCAGGGCACAGTAAGACTCAGAGGAACTGTGTAAGACAAGCAAAGAACTGATTTCAGACCACTGCATTAAATGTTTGTGACAGTTGGCATTACAGCTACAGAGCAGAGTATTGCAGTTCCTCTGGAAAACATTTCAGCAGCTGGAAGAGAAATCAATATTTCCTGTAAAAAGCTAGTAGGAGTTTCCTACGTCGTGTCCCAGGGACCACAGTGCAAACCAGAATCCAGGAGAGCAGAAGATGCATCTCCTTCCACAGAGCTTCTTAGGGAAACAGCACACATCTCACCCATTATTTATTAGATACTTGACAGCACTTAAGACTAAGCTTTCAGTATTAAAAAAGAACCAAAGGAAGCAACGTCTGCTCTGTGGCAGAGGTGACAGAATTCTATAATCCTCCTGTCAGCCTAAATAGCTACATTTGCCACTTCCTCATGTAGCACTTGCATAAATTAGATTTTCAGTACAGAAATACACTATGACAAAAAAAAAATAAATAAACCCACAACATTTTTACCTAGCAAACTTGCAAGCTGATCTAGGTTTCCAAAAGCTTACAGTGATTCAGCCACACCTCTCTTTTTCAGAGATTATTTCTAAATCAGTAGCATCCAGGCAATAGTTGCCTGGAGAAGCTGCAGATGCCACATCCCTGGAAGGTCAGGTTGGATGGAGCTCTGAGCAACCTGCTCTAGTGGAAGGTGTCCCTGCTGCCCAGGGCAGGGGGGTCAGAATTAGGTGACTTTTCAGGTCCCTTCCAACCCAAACCACTCTGTGATTCTACGAATTCAGTGCTCTACATTCTGTCTTGGACATCGATGCATAAAACTCATCCCCAGTTACACAGACAACTACTTTTGCTCTTGCCCATAGCAATCTGCATTACCAAATTACCATACTATCAGTCTGCATCAAAATCCATAAAGGGATAGCAGAGATGAGGCAAATCTACATTACATGCATAAAATTTCCATGCAGTATCTGGTTATAGCACACCAATGTGTCTCCAAACCACAAGTTCTAGTTGCTTCCATGAATACTAATTTTCTCTCAAAACTTAAAAGCAACATAAGGAGCAAAAAACCCTAATTTAATTTTCTAGGTAGAAAAGCAACACTAAGATATGTAGCCATAGTTAAATGCATCTGAAATTCTCCTGCTATAATCTAATTAAAAGGAGGCAAACGAATATGATACAAGGGACAAAGAACAGGGATGCAAACAGCAGGAGCTAACAACTAAATTTAACTCCAGCTATTTTCAGAGCACACTGACCAAAAGTATATAGATAGTATAGAAAACCAAGATACTTTCAAACAGTTGTGCATTTGATCAAGCCAAATCTCAGTATTAAGAAGTACCTACCTACCCTTTCTGGCTTAGACTCTGTGCCCTCTGCAGAAGCATTGAGAACAGAAAGGGGCATGGAATATGTGGATATTAAGTGAATAAGTGATCTGAAATACAACTGTGCATGTCCTAAACTGCAAGTTGGGTTTATGCACATTTTGACACGTCAGTCTTACAAAATGGCAGTTTTAAGCAAGTACACTCTACTACTAAACCCAGCAAATGTAGAATAAATGTCAATTACTCCTATAGGCCACGAACTTCATACAGAATTTACCTTGAAAGTGCAACTGGGACTGGAGCTAAACCTCAAATCATGGGCTTAGCTGGGGTTAGTGTTTAACTGTCCAAAAGTAGAAACAAAGTCTGATCAGATGCTGGTGTACAACCAGTCTCTGCTGACACATGAACAGAATGTTGCAAGGGGCTCCCTAAGCCAAGAGACAAGTCTGTTCAGGGCAAAATCTTCAGTAAATTATTTAAACTCTTTTTTCTCTATGCTAGGCAGCTCCATTTTCTATTTCTCCCATCTTTGAGGCCACAGAAAGAGTCCTAGAATTATTTCAGCAACAGTGATGGGAGCCCAAGGCAACCAAGTGGATTAGTTATGTGGTGGCCAGGTAAGTAAGCAGACTTGGCTCTGCCTGTTTCCTTCCTCCTCTCCATTGTTTCTGCAGGTTAGCCTGGCAATCGAATGGACAAAGTAACATTCTGTACCCCAACACAGCATGTTTAGGAGATAATGACTGTTTTCCTTTCTCCTCCAGGAACCTCTGAGACCCTGAAAGTCAGAGAACTATTGCCTCAGCAGCACACCTGACGCTGAGCTGGAAACAGCACAGTACTTACTCACATAATGCCAACACTCTCAGTTCTCAGTACGACCATTATGGGACACTGAGCTCAAAATTAAGCCTTTCTCTGCAAAGCAGATTCAAAGTAAAAAGCACAACAAGAATTTCCAAGAGAATGACAGAACTCAGGGCTGCACTTCTGTTTAACCATGTAGGATTTTCTTTCTGTTCTGAACTAAATTGACAAGCTTCGTTTTGGAATGATTTGTGTTGACCACAGGAATCTCCAAAGTCTGACTCAGCTTTTGATTCCTCCTTGCACATCTCCAGCTTCTCTCTTTCAGAAAGATCACGACACATCACTGCCATGAAATAACCTTTAGATTTACAAAATCTCTTCAAAATGTCTCTTTCACTGCTTTTCTTTTAAGTCTAGTATCTCTCAATAAAAAAAAAGTATTAGTGTAAGAGCAAAGAACCACAAAGCAATTTCCACAGCACCCTGGCAGTCAATCCACAACAACCCCAGATCCTGCTTTAACTTCTCTCACTTTGCTCACTGCAAATTACTCTAACTACACATGAGAAGGAACAGTCATAACTTCTCCTTGATGAAGTAGAAAGGGGGAGATAGAACAGGCTCTGCAAGAAAGACAAACTGAGTCCTGCTGATTCTTGGAAATATTGGCATAAGCACCAGCAATGTTATTTTAGGTGGAGTTAGTTTTCATGTTTTGCTTCTCCAGTCAGTCGTGTTTTAATTACATTTTTGTTTTAACAGCAGCTAAATCAAGTCATGCCTTGCAGTTCCACTGTATTTTTATAAATTAATTAACTTTTGGTTATAAAAATGCCCTTTACCAATGGCTTGAGAATGCCTCAGTCAGACAAATGTATATGTAACAAATGAGGGGCAAAAAAACCCAACCATGAGTTAAACAAGGTTCCTAAAAAAAGGGAATGAATTTCTACTTCTTGGTCTATTTCCAGTGCAAAGAAGATAACTTTGAAGTCAGATCAATATTAATTCACAGTCTGAGGAAAAAAATGTGCTCTTTCAAACTACGAAAGTGAACATTTTCTTACCAATGAAACCCAGCTGAGAAAATTCCAGAATCATCCAATCTTCAGAAGCGAGCTGGAGTGCAAAATTCTTTATTGTGCTGAAATAATTCTGCTTGACAACGATGTCATCTTCAAGCTAGAGGAAGGCAGCAGGGATATCAACATAAATTTAAAAAAAAAAAAGCACCAAAGCAACAGGAAAAGGAGGACAGCTAGGAAATACTGATTTAAGATATATTGCCAACCCATAGCCATATATTTTTAATGCTAGCACTGATATAAAACATAGATGCCACCGGGTGGAATAACTATTGTAGGGCTCAGTCTCTCTGTGGAGAACTAATCCAGACTCCTCCTGTAGTAAGAACCACAGAATCAGAGTCACAGAATGATCAGAGTTGGAAGGGACCCTTGAGGATCATCCAGTCCAACTCCTGACCCTGCACAAACATCCCTGACAATCACACTGTGCTGAGAGCATTGGCCAAACACCTCTGGAGCTCTGTCAGCCTTGGGGCTGTGACACTGCCCTGGGAGCTGTTCAGTGCCCAAACACCTCTGGGGGAAGAACCAGTTGCTAATCTCCAGCCTAACCCTCCCCTGACACAACTTCAGCCCATTCCCTGGGTCCTGTCCCTGGCCCCAGAGAGAAGAGGTCAGAGCTGTCCCTGCACTTCCTTTTGTGAGGAAGTTGTATCCAGTGATGAGCTCTGTCCTCAGTCTCCTCTTCTCCAGCTGAACAGCCCAAGTGCCTCAGCCACTCCTCCTGTGGCTTCCCCTCAAGGCCCTTCACCATCTTTGTTGTCTCCTTTGGATGCAGCACATCTCAACTTATCACCTTAGAGCACTGCTCTTCCACTTTCTCCCATCAGAGAAAACTCATCCATGAGATGATGTTAGCCCAAGGGACACCATCAGTAGAACAAGCAGAATATCTGTATTATTTGCACACAAATGTGACTCTGCTTACTTACAAACCTATCAGCACTGGAGAGTTTCTCCTCTGAGACAAGAAGCTAAGGGACACACTGTCTACAGCAGAGCAGTTCATTTCTCCTGGCCTGAGCTGTCCAACAAAGCACAGGTGCATAGTCCAAACCTCCCACCTAGTCCAGGCAGCAGAACTGCCAAGATGGGATGCTACACAATCCCTTTCATTCACAATAAGTGCAGGTCATTACCTTAAGGATCCTGCAAATCCTGCCCTTTCTCTCAGTGCATTCAAGCCCTCCCCCTTGTGCTGGCATTAACATTCATGCAACTTCTCGCTATCAAACAAGACTGTCTCATGTTATTGGCTGTGGAGCTGCCAAGGGAGCTGAGATTCCCACAGCTCTCAGAAAGTGAGGAGTCAGCATGAGATCTGTGGGACTTTATACTGAAGGACAGTCACAAATTCTAAACATCATTAGTGCAGCTACTCACTAAATCTGCAATATCTGTAGGTAAGGTGTCTACTTCAAAGGAGCAACACATGGTGGGAACAATTCTGAGCTAAATTAAAGAATTTCTTAACTCTGTTCTTGGAAACCTCTTTAAAAAAGAAAACTTCCCTATACACAACAGTCAAATTAAAGTGACACTGCATTTGCCTTCAAAAGAAAGTAAAAATGGACTTCAGCTTGATTTCCACACAAAACTATGCTGGCGTGTTCTCTCCTGGCAGCACAACAATAATTCATTTGGAGATAAAAACAGTAGTTAAGCTGTTTGCATTCCTTCCCTTCTTTTACTAAGCATCTTCAGATAAGTCACATAGGAGAAATTACTTTCTACTCCAGAGACAGTGTCCTCCACAAATTACCTCCTCATACACCCCAAGCACCATGCCCAGTGCTCTCCTTCCATTATGGGACAAGTTCTCTCTGTTCTCTACAGGTCTCTCTGATGTTTCCAATAGCATCAGTTCTGTGGACTAATTTGAAAACTTGTCTCAAAATAAAGAAGGTAGGTTTACCTGGATGTAATAAACTCCCTTTTTCTGGGCATACATCATAAGAAAACAATAATCCAAGTTTTGTTTTGTTCTCCATCTGAAATGAAATGAAAAGCTTAAGGTTTATGAAAAAAAGGTTATTTCAATACACACTGGCAATGTAGAGTAAATCTCACTATGAAGAATGAGGCATATTAGTGAAATGTTAGGACAGCTGCTTTGGGCACTGTTCCCTCAGGAAATCCTCTGTCTGAAAAAAAGGCACAAAGCTTTCACCTTGTGCTTTAATAGAGACACAAAACTGGCTTAACTTGAATCTGATTTTGTGCAAACTACCTGACATTTCACCAAAAACACATGTGCATTTTAACAGTAACTTCTCAGGAACTACTTGGTTCTACATTGTATTTCAGGAAGAAAAACAGCAAACAAAAGAGTCTACATACAGGAATAAAATACTTCAAGTCTCAGTTTTTATCCCAAAATTTAACACTAAATGCAATCAACCAAGCACAGGCTCTGCTCATGCACAGAACAGCTAGGAACCAAATGGATTCACAGATCCTTCTAACGTCCCCACACTTGCAAGAATTACTGGAAGAAAGCATTTCAAGAATCCACATCCCACTTGCCATTTCAGAAACAACAAAAGTGTGGGTGTGGGAGGAGATGGGAAAAATCTGGGAAATAAACTAACCTCACTCTCTCTTTGGAGTCTCCAAACGTCTCTTTCAAGTTGGACAAGTCAGGATAGTAAGTGGCAGGAGGGGCTATCACTTCCACCAAGCCAGAATTGATCTCAGTAGAAAACCTGTCAATAGAAACATCCTGAAGTCACCTGAGAGATTCTGAGCTTTGTAGACCTCCTGCTCATTTTCTGCTGCTACACTTACTGTGTCTGGTTACCACGACTGACTCCAACAAGGCATGTAAAATCAAAGTAGCATATAAAGAAATATATAAAAAAGTACTGGATTCCTTAACATCTCCTTCAGAGCACTACTCTCACCACTCAGAATCTAACTAAACATTTATTTTGCCTTTCTTTTTGCACAATCCAGTGATCTTTTCCTATAGCTCTCTCTGAACATATGGAACACGAGGCCCTAACACAGATGCCACAGATTCCCATCCATGTTAAAACAATCCCATCTGTTTATGTTGCACCAACTAATTTAATCCCACTTATTGTTTTACAATTTAACTGATTGAATCACTGCCTCTTAATTTGTTATCTACTACCTTCTTACTCAAAAGCCCACAGGCCCAAGAAACAAAAAGGCATCATCTCCTACTTCCAGGATATTTTGGTTTTTTACTTATCTCAACCTGGTTTAAGGAAAATCAAAAAGCAAACCCACCAATAAGCTAAGAAATCCCCCATTGAAGCGACAACTTACTCTTTTTCCAGGCTTGCAACGACACCGTTTACATAATCAAGATCAGTCTGGAAAAAAACACAAACAGAAAAACCAAACAGAATAGTTAACAAACAGTTATGGAGCTACTTTTTAAAACAACCAAGTAAAATAAACACTGCAGGTAGTTGCCCCTGAAACTCACTTCTGGTGTGCAAGACACTGGATTAATATACAACACACATGTAACTATGTTTTATCAGAATAAACTTTTTTTTTAAACAGAGGGGAATAATATTTACCACACGTGCACTTAAGAGTTGTTGATATAAATATATTGAATAAAACTCTCATACTCTTAATGATGAAATGATCACTGAGCGTTTGTGCAGGAAAAGCTTCATATTATTGCTATATGATAATAATAATAGATAAGAAAATATTACCAAGAAAAGCTTTCTGGAAAATAGTGCACTGAACACACACATATTCTTCTTTCAAAAGTGCATCTCCCAAACTTTACATGGAAAGCAAATGTCCCAACACAGACATCAGTGAACATATTGTCCTCCTGACTGGGGTTGCTTTTCTGCATCAGAGACTCAGCTTGAGGGACTACCAATCCTACCAGTCACTCAGCTCTTAAAGATGCAATGACTCTAGAAATTACATATTGGTTAAAATAGAAATTGTGACATCCTGGAAAAGTCTAGATCATCTTACTTAACAGGACTGGACAATTATTCAAGCTGGCTGTACACATGCAATCCAGGTAAAGAGAGTTTCTGAACTCATAAATGTGATGAAACTCTGATCATGGTTACACTTATGAGCCTAATAATTCGACATACTATTTATGTTTTTGAAAGGAAAATGTGCAGTCTATAAATCAAGCCAGATTCTGGTGGCTCCTGAGGATTCTGGAGAAAGAGCTGCTTTGAAATGCTGCAAACAAAGGAGCAGTTCTTGGTTTTTCTGATGATTTTGTAACACGGGTTATCATTAAAGGATTATAGACAGAGGATAAGTCCCTCCCTAGCATTTCTACAGAACTGCTAATCTTGTTTGATAAAGGTGCTTACCCTTTGATCTTAAAAATCACCACTTCTATTTTTAAAGATTTATTTTTATGAAATCCAACATAGTACCAGTTTCACACACTGTCCTAAAAGGACAACAACAGTGAGTTTCTCCCCAAAGCAAGTTCTAAGAACATGGGAGTAGAAAGCATTTGTGATATTTTTTCACACAGATTTCCTTCATAAGTGCTATGCCTAGTGCTGGGCAGAAGTTCTAATAAGTAGATAAGATATTCACAATTTAAAACTTGCAGTGAGTTCCACATGAGGAGAATGACAAGTCCATATGGACCTTGATAGATCACCAAGTGTTTAAATACATACAGGGATTGTTCACACACATTTAATTAATGGAATGGAGTTAAAGACAGAACTTTCTCTGTTGTGTATAACAGTTGCAAATCAGTGACCTAGTGACTACCTAAAAATAATGTTACTATATCCAGCTTGAAATGAAGCATATCTTCTTCCCTTTTTTTAAAAAACCTTTTGAAGATTAAACACACAGAAATTGCAGTTTAGTCAGCATACAAAAAAGGCAAAAATTTGAATTTCCAGTTGGCATGCTAAGCTTCAATTACCAGCATTAATAACTCCAGTACTTGTTAAAGAGCCCACACTGTAACTGCTCAGAAAAATACAAGATTTATGTATAAATATATCTACATACACACACAAAGCAGAAACAGCTATTTTCTACACCGTATTCCAGAGACAAAAATAAATGCCCAGCTTCATGCCAACTGGAATCATGTACATAATCACAAGTCTGTGCCTCAGTCTCCTTAGAGTGACCACCGTTGTGACCTAGTTTGCAGACAACCATGAAGGACTTGCTACTGCTTCTAAAACCTTACACACAGAGGAAGCATCACCATCCGGGAAAAAATAAAATTCAAGTCTGGAATAGGAGGTTTTTTCCCTACTTCCCTATATTTGTTTGTGTCCTTCCCACAAAGATTGGCAGTTTCCCAGTCAGAGCTGCAACCACAACAGCTTCACAATAAAAAGATGCAGTCTGTAGTCTTCCAACCTCACACTGTGCTCTGGGTTGCTCTCACACAAAGTCAAAAAGGTCTGGCCTAGCTGCACTGAATGAACACTAGACCCAGCAAACAGCACTGCTGGTTGCTTTCCTCCTGAATCACTACATCAGGGTGGTGCACAAGGAGATGCCACTTTTAGAATGGAAAAGAACATGGGGATTAAAAGAGTTGAGGCCACTTTTCATATGACCAAGCGCATTAAAAAGTTGGTATTCTGCCATCATTTCTAAATAAGCAGTTGTATTTATATCTACCAGCAACATCTGAGATTCAGAACCAGGATTTCAACACAGAACTATAACAGGTTGGCTGTCCTCTTTCCACATCAGAACCTCAAGAGACACCCAACTCCTTTCCTTACCCACTCTAACACTAAGTGGGATCTCTGCCAACACCTTCCTGCTGTGGACACATCCCAGGAAAGTGGCACTTCTAAGTTATTTCATACAACATCATGAAATAAGTATGAGAACAGGCAATAAATTTGATCAAGCTGTGACCCTACCCAAGAGAAGATCTAAGTATATAGAAGACTTTGCAGGGTAGCAGTGGAAGGAGATCTGGAATAGCTAGATGAAATCTGAGGATCTTCCAAGCAGAATCAATTCATTTGGTTAGCAACTTAAGAGCAACAGGAAAAAATATCTATTATTGACCAAAATCTACTCCCCAGGAAGAAAGTATTTATTGACTTGCCAAAATAAGACATAAGGTCCTCTTATCAACCTGCAGGACTCAGGACTCTTAGTCTTCAGGAACCATAAACAGGACAAGACAAATCCAGATGAATAAAACGAAGTCACTCACAAAAGACAAAATGTTGCTGTTCTTTAGGCTTCCGGTGAAGATTACCTAGTAGATATTTGGTTGACTTTGGAGCAGATATGAGCAGGTAAAACCTGTTCCATGGTATCAGCACTGAGTGCAGCTACTGAAATGAAATGTCACCGGTGATCCCAATCAAAGCAGCACAACATCAAAGTCTACAGTTATGAATGTTTTTATCTACCAAATCAGAAGGCATTATCAAAACGAGAATTTTTTCTTAGTAAAACTCTTAAAGCTGAAGATTAAATAATCCCCAGGAGTTCTGGACCCATGACAAAGGAAGATTGTAAGAACAAATCCCCTTAAAGCCATTAAATACGAAATTGTGTTAGGCCCCAAACAGTTAACAGTGCCAGTCACAAAGATGCATCTTATCAATGAATCACATGAAGCCTTAGAAACAAGTTTATCCTGCTGAGGGAATCTCTGGGAACTTCCTAACGAAAGGCATAAGCAGGGGTGGATATTTCAGTATCAGCAGGTCACATCTTTCAGCCTGTTCTTTCCTCCTAGTCATATGATATTACTGACCTCCAAGAGGAAGCAAGAACACTTGGAGTGAGATATCTTCCTTCAGCCATGCACACCAGACCAAGGACTGACCCAGGACAGCATCTTGTTGCAGCAGAGGCAGCCACAAACACATACATAGCAAAGACAAGGACAGGCACACACAACACCCCTCCTGCTATCATCCACACTCCAACCACCCTCAGCTCAGGTTGTCTCCTGGGATAGATGTGATTTTGTGCATTTAATATTCCTCAGTAGACTCATCTTCAAGGTACTTCCTCAGCATCCCCTTGAGCCTATCTAAAGTTTGAGCAAGAAGAGGTTTTAGCTCACAAGATCTATGGAGTTTCCTAAGCCTGTGAGCATGGCTACATCAAAGGTTTAACTCCTTGCATCAGCAATTTTGATGAGAAATGCATACAGAGTGCTCTGATGAATCTCCCTTAAACAAACCCCTCAGAGTCTGTTGCGGAACAAACTGAAGTTTCAGACTGTCAGAGGAAAATAAGTCTTTTAATTTCATCAGTTTTTGTATGATGCTGTACTACAATTCTCTATAGTATCTTGCCCTAGTGCAGGTTGAGGCCATGCTTCAAGTTTGCAATTATTCTAAGGTTTATCTGAACAAACATTCCTATTCATAACAAGCACAGAAAGAACCAGAGCAGCGATGAACTTCCCAATCTTTCTATTGATTGCTATAAGTGACCCTGTGCACAGCAAAGCAGCAGACTGTATTAGGCAGCAGACAAAACAAGAGGTTAGAATGCTCTGATTAACAGCTAGCCAACCATCACACAAACCCAAGATTCCTCATTTTAAAAATCAATCATTTCATACTGTTGAACCCTATTGACTTCGTACCTTCAAGAATTACAGAATCATAGAATCATTAAGGTTGGAGGAGCCCTCTAAGATCATCCAGTCCAACCATTAACCTGTCACTGCTACAACCCCTAAACCCTAAACCAGATCCTCCAGTGTCAGATCCAGACACCTCTGAAACACCTCCAGGGATGGTGACTCCACCACCTCCCTGGGCAATATTCCAGTGCCTGAACACCCTCACAGGGAAAACATTTCTCTTAACATCTAATCTGCCTCTGCCCTGTCCCAGCTCATGACCATTCCCTCTAGTCCTCTCCCTGCAGCCCTGGCAGGACACACATCCCACACCTCTCTCCAACCTGTCAGGGAGTTGCAGAGAGCCAGGAGGTCACCCCTGAGCCTCTTCTCAAGGCTAAACAATCCCAGTTCCAGAAGATGGATGATTTCTCAAAACGTAAGGAAATCTATGGCATTGAAGATCAAACATCTATTTACTGTCTTAAGTGGCACATGCATATTAAAACCAACACAACCATAGAATATCTCAAGTGAGAAAGGCCTCAAAAGGATCATGAACACCAACTCCCTGCCCTTGCAAGATTCCATAAAACTAAACCATTTGACTAAGGGCATTGCCCAGATGCTTCTTCAACTCTTGACAGGCCATGACCTGGGAAGCCTGTTCTAGTGACTGTACACTTTCTCAGTGAAGAAACTTCTCCTAATGTCCAGTCTGAACTTGCCCTGATGTAGCTTCATACCATTCCCAGGTGTTCTGTCACTGGTCTCCAGAGG